AAGCGTGCAGCTCGAGTCGCTTTTCGCCTCTTCGCCGCAGCCAGACTGGGCTTATGTTTGCAGTGTGGCGGTGTGCGTGTCCGCGCGTGGCCGCGCAGGCCCCCGAGCAGGCCGAGCAGGGCGAGAGGAACTAACGGTGACGTATGGCGCGGTGCGCGTCGAGCGTCGAGGCGCGCTGGACTGGACGCAAACTCCGGCCGGCTACATCATCGGGGAGGTGCACGACGACCGCGACGGCGGCCCGTCGCCGGGTCACCGCGCTTCGCCGTCGGGAACGTCGACCGGCAGATTCCTCGCCAGACTCGCTCCGCAGATCGGATTATTGCGTGCCGAAACCGTGTCTCGGACTTTGGGACCGCTTGGCGGCTCGGCTCGGACCTTTCGGAGCCCCGCCCGACTGCCCGACAATCCGACACACGCACCTGCCAGCACCGCGACGAGAGGCGAGAGACGAGAGCGACGGGCACCGCCGTGGCCGGGCCGTGGCCGAAACGGCCGAAACACTCTGGCAGCCCCGTTACCGTTGCTGCACCGGCCGTGTGGCAATTTCCAGGCCGACGCGCCGTGCCGCGGCGCCTTGCCGCCCTGGCCCTGCTTGGCCCTGCTTGGCCCTGCCTGGCCCTGCTTGGCCCACGGACGACGGCGACGTCGCGGGGGAACCGCAGCACCGCAGCGTGCGCGCGCATACCAAGCCGACGGCACCGACGGCACGCCTCGGCCGCCACCAACGCGCCGAGCCGCGCCGCTGTGTGACCCGCCTGAAAAATGGTGCTCGGAACGGGACGGCCGAACGCCAGGGCAGGCGGGCAGGCAGGCTCGTGGCGCCGCGTCGTGTGACGACAGCAACAACACCGTTGCGAAAGAACACGCGGAAGGAACACCGCGGCGCCTGCCGCCACCGCCAGCACGGCCTGGACGGCCTGCTGGACCAGGCGCGGCAGGCTGGGGGCACGCGCGCCGCGGTGGCGCCGACCGGCCATTTGACACACTGCCAGCGCCCAGCCCTGTCCCAGCCAGCGCACTGCCGGCCGCGTCGTCCAGGCGCCGCGCCGTCGTCCCGTCCGGCGGGGGACTGCAGATTGCAAAGCGTGCCGGCTGCTAGGGGTCGTCCACGTGTTACGTAACCTCGTTTAGGACCTTGCGAAGCCGAGCACCCAAACCGATGGGAAAACCCCGAGGTCTTTGGTCGGCACGCGCTGACGGTACGCGTGCGCACCTGGGGCTGACACGCTGCAAGGGCGTCACGTGATTCGATTCGTGCACCGCACTGCACCGCGCGGGCCTTGACCTCGCCGGGCCGCCATCGCCGCGCTGCAATCCATCCATCACGATATCGCCCCCGACAGCCTCATCAGTGATAGCAGCGCCTCCCCCACCCCTCCCCCTCCCCCTCCCACCGCGTTGATTGATCCCGTCAGCAGCGCGACGGCCGCCTGCACCGGCCGCGCCGCCGCTAAGCCCATCGGGCGCGCGACGTTCAAAATAAGACACGCGGCTGGCGGCGCACAGTGGGCCAGAAGCCGGTGGAGGCGGCCAAAACTCTAGACGCGTTTTGAGCTCCAGAGTCGCTAAATGGGACTCGAACCGGACGTGTGACCCCACCAATGGATTGTTCTCCGAACGAGGAATCCATGGGTGGGGTCACACGCTCGGTTTGAGTCCCATGTAGCGACTCTGGAGCTCAAAACGCGTCTGGAATTTTGGCCACCTGCGCCGGTTTCTGGCCCACTGTGGGCCGGGCCGGCCCGATTCGCCGCGCCGGCTACGCTGGCTCAGTCTCAGTCACAGAATCGGGATTAGCGAGAGGGCTCGGCAAGTTAGCGGGGCTTCGCTGCTTCACTGATGAACACTCACTCACACACACTCATCGTACAGGTGCGTCATCGGGCTGCACGCTGCGCGCTCTGCTGCGCCGCAGTCGGGCCCCGCGGGCTGCCTTTACCCTTGGCCACCCTTGGGCTGCCACGCCGCCCCCGCCCCCGCCCCCCGCCCGCCTCCGGACCTTGCCGAGGACGCCGTGAACCTCCGCGCCACCCCCAGCCAGGCCCACCCCACGGCCTCCACCGCTCCCTACCGGCGCCGCGGCCCTGGCCCGCCCTGGCCCCTGGCGGCCCTGCAGACTGATTCCCAGCGAGGCGTCCCCTCGGTCCGTCTCTCTCGCACCCCCGCGGTGCCCCCAAGGTGCGACAGAGAGACCTGCGGGCAGCCCTTCCCTTCGCTATCGCTCATTCCCCCGCAGTGCGCCACGGCGCGGCGCTGCGGCCGTTAGCCTGCAATGCGGGCGGCGAACCGAACGGGCCGAACGGGGCGGCGTCAGCGCGTCGGCGCCAGTCACAGAAAGGCGAGAATCGCAACGTACAGTGCCGTGCAACACGCACACAGACACACACGTGACCTTCGATCGCCATGCTGCGTGCGCTGCGTGCGCTGCGTGCGCTGCGTGCGCTGCGTGCGCGTGCATGTCCGTGTCGTGCTCGCCCCGGCGACTCCCTTCCCTTCCGACTCGACAGACCGACAGACTCGACCGGCTGGCTGGTGCGCTGCGCCGAGTCGCCCAAGTCGTCGTCACGAACATGGCTGCCAACGGTCACTGACTGCTGGCTGGGCTGGCTGGGCTGGCTGGCTGGGCCCTGCGACGCTACACGCCGCGTGGCCACGCCGTGCCGCGCCGCGCCGCGCCGCGACACCAAATAAAACGAGTGGAATGCGAGAAGTTTGTCACGACACCGGGGCGCGGCGCGGCGCGGCACGGCGCGGCGAGTGCACTTTATTTCCTTTTAGACTAGCGGAACGATAAGCCGGCAGCGGCGGCAGCGGCAACCCGCGGCCGCGGGCAAGGCCTGCCAAGGTCGGCCGAACCATGCGGACCACGGCGGACCACGGCGAACAGAACCAAGTGTCGCAGCAGTCCAGCGTCGCGGCCTAGGACCGTTACGGCCTGCGCCGCCGCCCCCACCGCCCCCAGCCAGTCCCGGTACCGACACTGTGTACTGTACCGACCGGCCGGCCGGCCGCACGCCCTTGACCACCACGCCGACGCTCCGTCTCACTCGCACCCACGGAGCGTTCGTTCCGTACGGGAGCGAGAGAGACAGAGCTCCGCGATCGATATAATTACGCGTGGACACGGCCGTGCGCGCCGCTTCGGCGGGGGAGGGACGGGGCGCGCGCCGCGCACGCGAAACCCCGAGACGCATGGAAACGCATGGCAACGCGGTGCCGCGGTCGACGCCGTCCGCTGCAGCTGGCTGTCGCGTGGCGGCGAGCAGGCCGAGCAGGCCGAGCAGGCCGAGTCCCCCCTGGACTGGACTTCACTGCTTCGTGGCCCTCTCTCTCGCACCCCTACGGCACGCCCCGTGGGTGCGAGGGAGACAGAGCGACGCGCTGGAGGCAATCTGGAGGGCTGGAGGGTCCGGAGCCCAGCCCGCGGGCCGCGTGTGCCGATCGTCCGGCACGGCGGATTAAAGCGCCCTAAAGACCCAAAGCCCTCGAGCCTCGCCCGGGCCGGACCGGACCGCTAAGCCGCGCGGGCCGCGGGGGCGGCGGCACTTTAGCGCGCAGCGCGCCGCCCTCCTTTCTACAGGCCACTTTCTTCAACGGGGTCCTCGCGGAGGGCCGACCGGCCGACCGGCTGCAGGCCCGCGGGGCGTCCGCAGTCCGCGCCGGCCCGGGCCGGCGTCCACGCGGTTCAGACACTTGAAAACCAGCAAGCTCTGCGTCCATGTTCTTTTCCCCTGAGGGTTGGCGCCAGTGGGGTCTGCGCCCTCTGGGTCTGGCGCGCCGAGACAAAACGCCCACTGCAGATCGGAGCTCACAACCGCCAGGGCACCGGCAGGGCAGCGCCGTCGTGAGTCCTCGGCCTGGTGGTGGTGGAGTGGGTGGAGTGCACTGAGAGGCCCCCCTCCCACCTGTCATCGCATGCATGGCCCGCTTCGGCGCTTTGACCAGGGCCGCCCTGCATTCACAGCCAATCGACCGCGCAGCTGTTGTGGCCGACGGCGTGGTTGTTGCCGATGCTGGTGCTGCTGCACAGTGTGCTGGCCCGGACCGGACGGCGGCCCGGCGCCCCCAAGACCCCCATCGCCTTCTCGGCCACTCGATTGGCGGTCAATGCAATGTCACAGTTACTGACGCCAATCGAGCCGAATAGTCCAATCCTAGTTACACACACTCACACTCACACACAGGCCGCCTGATCGGCCCTATCGTCGCCGCCGCGCGACAATCAATATGTTGCACCAAGATAGCAGCAATCTGCCCGACCGGCCGAAGCGAAGGGCTGCTCTTGTGTGCAGCGAAGCAGCGAACGGGCCGCGCGGTTCGGTTCGGTTCGGCCGGTCATCGTCGCGACGGACCGGGCCGGGTCGGGCCGGTGTTGATAAAGACCCCCAGGTCTTTGTTTGCGAGGGCCGGCTATCGCGGCGTCCGCGGCGTAGAGGGGCTCCTTCTAGAACGGTGCGATCAGCGCTCAAATTAAAGACAGTCGCAGGGCTGTCAAACCGGCGGCGAGCGCGGCGAGTCCGGGCCGAGCGCTGACGCGGCCCAGCGACGAGATATCGCGCCGCTTCAGCCGACTCATTCCGAGAGTCGATTATCTCTGTCTCTCTCGCACCTATGTGGGCGGACGCAAGAGTGTGAGCGAGACAGAGCGACGAAAAGGACTCTCGGAATCGGTCTGCAGCTTGAGCGCGGTGCGTCATCGTCGTGCATACACCTCTCCGCCGGAAGAGCACCAGATAACGGCGAAAAAAAAAGCTGCGAGAGAATTTCCTCCCGCGGCAGTAAAAAAAGAAGGAAATTGAAACGCGTTAGCCAAACAGGCACGTGTTGGCGAGGCGTGTTTGGCCTGTAGTAGCCGAACAGCGCGCAGAGGACAAAGGGCTTACAGTCGGCTTACAGTGTGGTGCTGCGACAATGAAATGATAAGTCTGCATGCGCAGGACCCGCAGGACACGTTATACCCGTTCCTGGAAACCGGGAGGCAGTGTGATGGCACTCACCTTGCAAAGGGTTGGTCCTCCACCTCGTACAGCTCCTCGATGGGCCGCTCAGAGAGCAGCTCCTTGGCGCGCTCTTCGCTCAGCTCCAGGTAGCCGGGCTGGGAGCTGAGCATCTTGACGACGGCGGCGGCAGCGGCGGCGGCCTCCCCCGCGTCCGTCGACGCCGTGCCCGCCGCGGCGCTGTCGTCCCGGCAGCCGTTGTTGTTGGCGTCGTCGTCACTTTTATCCAGAGTGGTGTCGTTGTTGTTGTTGTTGCTGCTGATGGCGGTGCCGGGGCCCGGACCGCCGCCGGGGCCGCCGCCGCCGGACACGAGGTTCAGCACCTCGCGCATCGTGGCGTGGACTGAGTCCTCAGAGTCCTTAGAGTCCTGGCCACTGATAGTCCGTCCAATCGCCTCGGGCCCGTCACTGCGCGGCGGGTCTATGTCGACCGATAACGTCAACCCTTGTTCACAAGCTCGGGGGTCTTCGAGTCACACTGGGGACGGCCGGGTCCGCGGCCCGCCATGGCCACGGCCACTACACTGGACAACGCGCAGGGAAGTCCACACTGACGCACACGAACGCACACACACACACACACACACGCACACTGTATCCAGGAACGGCTGCAACTCCTCGCGGCGGCGCACTAATCCAAAATCAAACAGGACTCGGGTGTCACTTCACTTCCATAGCGGTCTTGATCGCAACTGCCACTGGGAGCGCTAACGCTCGCACACACGCACTCACACACTCGCATGCACAGCACACTTCGCGAACGGAGCAAGGCGACACAACACGGCACGGGTCGGCCCCACGGCGCGGGCGCGCGAGCGGACACACGATCGACGAAGAGGCGCGGCGACGCGACGATGGGCGGCGCAGGCTCTACGTCCGCTCTCCTCGGCCGCACCACGGCGTGTGGCGCGGACGCGGCCGCGGCCGCCCCGCCCCGCCCCGCCCCGCCCCGCCTCCCTCCACTCGCGCAACCTTGCCCCCACCACGCCGCGAGCGCAGCAGGCCGCTGGGCCGCCGCCACCCACAGCCGCAGCTGCAGTTGCAGCGAGCAGCCAATGCAGCTGCAGAAATGGCAAGTTCGGCCGGCCTGTTCACTGTTCAGGCGTTCAACCGCACTGGGCGTGGCGGCGTGGCGGGGGCAGCGGGCTGAGTCAAGTCCAGTCAAGTCGCGCCTTGAACTGCCAATCGGCCCGATACTAAGCACCTAGAGACTGCCAGAGACCGGGGAAACGGGCGCCATGGCCTTCATCTGAGTTTACGGCAAGCTGATTCCAGTCAATTCACTCGGATAAAAGTCGTTAAGACTTGGTTTGGCCAGCAAGTAGGTTCGCAGCTTTTTGAATCTGCAGCATGCTCTGCCCGCTTGGCAAATGGACTATACTCTGACCAGAAAACGAAGAGCCCTGGGTTCTCGCGGTCGAGGGCTACCTGCAATGCTATCCAAAAGGCGGCAGATGCCATAAACCGCGAGGACTCAGGGCTCGTCATTTTCTGGTCAGAGTAGTATAGGTTTGGTCAGGTTCTTTTGTCGAGCCTCGACACATGTAAACTTGATAAGTGTCCGAACCCGAAGCTGCCGGGCGGCCCGGCGCGGCGGCCCCGTCGCTGCAGCCGCGCTGCCGAGGCGCGCGCGCCACCTAGCGGCGCGGCCTGGAAGGGGCCCCGAGCCGGGGCCCCCGCAGCCGGCGGCCTCCGCAGCCGGCGGCCCTCCGCAGCCGGCGGCGGGGAAGCGCACCCGATTTGAAAAGGGGCGCGCCTCTGGCCCGCTCTGGCCCGGCCGCCGCGCCCCACTGGGAGACTGGGGGGCGTCCCGCGTAGTCCAGTCCAGTCCGCGACCCAATGGGTAGCCATGGGTATCGGGGCCGGTCCCCATTTGCAAACAAAGCTTACTGTACATCGCTGCGTTGCCCGCAGTGCCGCGCGTAGATCCATAAAAAAAAACTGACCATAAAACAAAGCACATTAATTCTTTCAAATCAGCGAGAGAGATTTATAATTGAGCGCCGCGTGGATGCCACGGCTTGTCATCTATTCATCAGCCCGGGCCACGCGGAGGCAGGGGACGAAAAACGGGACAGGGAAAAAAGACACCTGGTGTCTCTGTCCATCTCGCAGCGCGCGGCAGAAAAAAAAGAAAGAGCCAGTAGCTACACTAGCTGGGCCCGCGGGCGTGGTCCCGCGTGGTCGTAAAGCGCCATGCGTGCAGAGTCGTATTGTAAAATGCACTGCGGCCAGGAAAAAACGACACTGCGCTTATTATTCACTTGATGAAGTTAACAGAGCATTTTATTATCGGCGCTGCCTTTTTCAGGTGTATAAACAAAAAGAAAGGACATAGCGCGCGACGCCGCGACGTAAGGAGGAAGGGGCCGGGTCGGGCCTGGTGCCCTTCCAGCCCTTCCAGCCCTGCAGTCCCCGCAGTCCCTGCCTCCAGCGCGGCTCGGCAGATTGCATTTTTTAGCGCGCAATAAAGTGGCACAAAGTGTCATTCTGGGGACTGATGCCGAGAGTCGCTTTTGTCGCTCTGCCTCTTTCCAACTCGGGCGGCGGCCCGTGCGGGAGCGAGGGAGACAGCGCGACGAAAACGACTCTCGGACAGTCCGCTGGAGGCGCCCGTTAGGCCGTTACCTGGCCGGGCTAGTCGGGCACCGTGCACACCACTGCACACCGCGCCGCCGCAGCGCCCCGCCTCGCCTTGCGTCACACTGCAACTGCCCACACGGCCATTCGGCCATTCGGCCATTTCTCGCCTTTTTTTGCCCGTCTTTTAAGACGCTTCGATTGCACCTCGCCGACATGGCTTGACTTTTACACGGAAACAAAGGCGGCGGCGGCGGCAGGCAGCGGCACCTCCGGAACGGCCAATCCGTCAGCAGCGTGGCGTCATTGGCAGTGGCTGCCGCTGGTCAGCACAAAGCCAAAAAAGTATATTCACTTTGAAAAAGAAAATCAGGCGGTGACTCACTCATCGGAAAGAGAAAATCGTCCTGGCGATTTTGTCTGGGTTTGTACCAGTTTGCCGTGCCAAAATTAACAAACTAAACAAGACAGTGGTCCTCCAGTGTGTTTAGTGTATTTTTTTGTGGAGTGTTTCCAGGCTGTTTCGGTTTTCAGCGACTTCCTTTTTTCGGACGCGCCGTCCAGCTAACCGCACAACGGGGCTCCTCGAGGCTCGAAGCTCCTTAGGCAAAATACGCCTTTATTCCCGGAAACGGAAAACGGAACGCGGCAAGTCCGGCGGGCGGTGCTGCGGCGGTGCTGCGGCGGTGCCGGCGGTGGCCCTCCGGTGGCGGCAGTCGGTTGTGCTCTGCGGTCGGGCCGTCGCGGTCCCCGGGACGGCCCCGCGGACGGTCCCACGCGACGCCGTGCAGTGCCACATCACGGAGCGGTGCGCTATGGTCAACTACATAACGGCACCGCCGAGACCGCCGGGCCATGGCAGGGCACACTGCCGGGCACCGCGCCGCTCCGGAACTGCACCGTAGGGCTCGATCGGCGCCTTTGATGCGGATGCGGCGCCGGTGTCCTCGGCGGCGACCCCACGACGGCGTCCTCTCGGCGGCGGCGTCCTCTCGGCGGCGACCCCGGCACTCCTCACCCACCCGAGCCACGGGCCTCGCCATAACCTCATCCTCCTCGAAGAGAAAGAAACTCGGTGCGTTCCGCTGCGCGCTGCCCCGTCGTCGACACGTCGGCGCCGGCCGCGCGGTTCGCGCCGCTTCGCCCCAGCCTCATTCCTGGCAGTCACGATCTTCTAATCGCTCGTGTTTGATCAAGTGTTAGCCAAATACTAGGTCGCCTTTTCTTTCTGTCGGCGAGGCGCGGCATGGCAGGGCGTGCGGCCCGCGGAGTAACTCACGCCGGTTCGGCGCACTGACCGGCCGCCCCGCGCCGGCAACACTCCCCCACCTTGGGAAATCAATCCGCCGGTCAGTCTTTTCAGTTTTTGTTGCCCCGGTCGAGATTTGGAGCCGCGGGCAGCCCGGCCCCTCTTGCGGCAACCCATCGGGATAAGTGTTAATCGCGGTTCGGAGTGGCGGGGCGGTGCGGTGCGGGCCAGGGCGGGGCGGGGCGGGGCGGGGCGGGGCCGCCACACACCTGCAGTGCGCAACCGACGCAGCGCTAATGGCATTATTTCTCGGGGCGCGCTTAGAGCCCGGACGCCCCGGACGGGCCGACGGGGCGGGAAGGGGCGAGTCTTTGCAAAAGAAGCCGTGCGCGATCGAGCAGCTCTCCAGAGTACTGTACGACGTCGCGCGAAACCAACGTGGATGGCAGGCTCGGGCTGGCCAGGGCAGACAGGCAGAAAAATCTGCCGGGGCCTTCGGGTTTCGGACCAGTAACGTCACAAAGTTGGTCAAAGAGTGACTGAATCTCCGAAAGTAGCCGTTTTCGCTGATTTTGGGCGGCCATTGCGTCCGATCTAGTTGCGGTCAACGGCCTACCTCGACGCCCTAGTATTCTTAAGACCCTACACTTTCATGCCCTGTATCGGGAAGATGTTGACCACAACGATTTTGGCTTTGACCGCATCGATTTTCCGACCAAGTTGGTCAAAAAGTGGTCGAATCTCGGAACTTTGCTGATTTTGGGTGGCCACTGTGTCCAATCTAGTCGCCGTAAAAGGCCTCCCTCGACGTCCTAGCATCCTTAAGACCCTACTCTTTCATGCCCTGTATCGGGAAGACGTTGACCACAACGATTTTGGCTTTGACCGCATCGATTTTCCGACCAAGTTAGTCAAAAAGTGGTCGAATCTCGCAAATTTGCTGATTTTGCTGACTTTGGGGGGCCACTGTGTCCAATCTAGTCGCCGTAAAAGGCCTCCCTCGACGCCCTAGTATTCTTGAGACCCTACTCTTTCATACCCTGTATCGGGAGGACGTTGACCACAACGATTTTGGCTTTGACCGCAACGATTTTCCGACCAAGTTGGCCAAAAAATGGTCGAATCTCGCAAATTTGCTGATTTTGCTGACTTTGGGTTGCCACTGTGTCCAATCTAGTCGCCGTAAAAGGCCTCCCTCGACGTCCTAGTATTCTTAAGACCCTACTCTTTCATGCCCTGTATCGGAAAGACGTTGACCACAACGATTTTGGCTTTGACCGCAACGATTTTCCGACCAAGTTGGTCAAAAAGTGGTCGAATCTCGGAAAGGTGCTAATTTTGCTGACTTTGGGCGGCCACTGTGTCCAATCTAGTCGCCGTAAAAGGCCTCCCTCGACGTCCTTGTATTCTTAAGACCCTACTCTTTCATGCCCTGTATCGGGAAGGCTATTGACCGCAACTAGTTTGGGAGCGGTAGCCTCACAAAGTTGGTCATGAAGTGTAAAAACATAATGATGATCGGGGGTCTTTTGCGGTCTTATCCGCTGGGGCCTTTTGGGGGCCAGTCCGAGCCTGGTGGATGGTCAAAGTGGTACTTCTTCTGCCTTTGGCTCCGTTTTCAGCCGACAGAGCCTCTGAAATATTGGAAATTCGGTGACTCTGCTGTGGACTGGCCGCTGGCGCTGGCTGGCGCCGTTGGCGCCACCTCGGATTGCCGGGTCGAGGCTCGCGTCGGCGAAACTGAATTGCATTGCGCTGGATTCTAGATTCGCGGAGGAATACGGGAAATGATCTGCAGCTGCGGCCGGCGGCCATCTGCGCCTCGCTGCGCCCAGCAGGCCCTGTAGCGCAGTCCAGTGGAGGGCCGCACGTAGCGCTGCGGGCTGGGAGTCCTTTTCGTCGCTCCGTCTCTCTCGCACTCGTGGGGCGTCCCTGATGGGTGCGAGAGAGACAGCCCACGGGGCTGGAAGGCTGGCCGCATGCCAGAGCCCTATTGACTGGTCGCCGCGGTCCATTCCGGCGTCACCAATCCTCGCGGCATGCCGCGGGGCGCTGTTTT